TTGTAACGGTGCGACCCCGACGTGAATGAGGATCGACCTTGTAAAAGGGTGGAAGGGAATCAATGCTGCATATTTGAATATGCTCTTGGAGATCGCAACCATTCCCTCTGGCAGACTCCGAGTTGTATACGTCCTATGCTAGTAGACATCGACGCTAATTGCGTATTGGTCTACCACTTTTTGAATTTCCTCTACTATGGCTATTGATAGGATTTCCTGTGAGGGACCCGTTGGGGTGTCCTGCACCGGCGAGCTCGTTCCCTCATCTGTTCTGGTCGCTAAAGGATCCATTTCTTCTGCGGTCTAAAAAAGGGCGAAGTGCAGGAATTACTCAGTCGTCATACAAAGTTTCATACAATGACATGAAAGAAAATATAAATACTATCTTCCTTAAACCCTAGAAAAACCCTAAGAATCCTTGGAGGCCACCCCTAAAGACTCAAACCCTAGAGGAAAGCCTATTCTCCGATCAACCACCCGCAAACGCCCATCGTTATCACATGGTTATCATCAAAACAGAAAAAGGAAAGTAATGAAAGAATCATCCTTACCTCTTGAGTGTGAAGATTGGACTACCTTCTGTGATCGTCAAGTGCGCACCAATCTGAAAGATGAAAAATCTAGTCTCACAAACGCTTCTTGCTTTTTCTGAAAAAGTGAATATTGTGACATTGCTTAAGGTGAGCCTGGGATTTTATAGTGAAGGAAGTGGCGATTGATTTTCCCAAAGCCAAGCGACGTTTGGATGAAAGTCATCTCTCGCCGTTGATCGTGACCACGTGTCGTCAATCAATGGAAGGAGTAATTGTCACACTTCGAGAAATCAAATCGTCGCTTCCCTCAGTTGAAATAATCGAGCGACAGCTCGTTTCCCTTCTCCACATTAAATGCACCCTCAACCTCATTTAATACCCTGAAAATGAATGTCGCTTCAGCATGGCTAGCACTTATTGCACATAGGACAAGTCTGTCAGAGCAAAAGGTATCTCATTAATGGATTAGCTGCCAAAGCACAACGGATAACATCTGAAGAGGTAGTTAGATAAAACACTCTTCATCACATGTCGGTTGTGAAGCGATGTGACGGTTAGTTGCGAAACGATGTGACTCCTTGCCTTCAGCAAAAAATACGCTAAGTATAACCAAGTCGCGGACCTCGGTCAAGATAAGAGGCGCATTAATACGGCATTGAATAAGGTCTGGTCCAGGTCGTAGACCTTGCAAAAGGAGACCACTTCAGGTCGCTCTTATGGAAACGTCTTGCGACCTCTTTGTAGCCAGGTTGGATCGATTTGGCATCATTTGGAACATATCAAATCAAGGCATAATTGTGAAGTTCTCAAGGTTTGATTTTCAAACCTCAAAAACTAGGGGACTTCTGTTATGCCTGGAAAAGTAGGGCTGACCGAGAGTCTTGTCAGCATGGGTAGTCAGAACTTAAGAATGTTCTACGACTGCTCAGATGCGACCGCGTCACGTGATTATGTGAGTAGCATGCTCCTGCCAGTGTAGTGGGTGTACGCCAGGTTGGCAAATGGTTGGAAGTGGTCCACATGTCCAACCCCTACACAAGTCGAGGAAATCACTCGGGTAGATGAGCAATGGGATGCAGAGAAGGATTTGCACAGTATCCATTCCGCTCACAGATTTAGTAATCATTACCTTGATTCATCCCACTATAAATAGAGTTCTTCTCTCCCATTTGTGGGATTGGCTAATTTCACTCTGGAATAGCATACTCTCTCTCTCTCTCTCTTTCTCTCTCTCTCTCTCTCTCTCTCTCTCTCTCTCTTGTATCCTCAACGTTGTAACTCAGCTCACTGAACACAACTTGACTTTACTCATTAATACAATATCAGTGGACGTAGGATTGGCCTTGTGAGCATCCGAACCACTTTAAACATTATTCTTCACCCTTTATTCAACTAAATACTTCCATAACCACATGTGACTTTTAAGCCTGCTTAGTATTTCTCACGTGCAAATAGTTGGTGTCAAAATCCAGCATCAACAGTTTTTATTATTTCCTAGGCAATAGATGTTTACAGATTCTAGCTTGACATTGTGTATTGTAATCATCAATTGTAGTAGATTACTGATTTGATCTAAATTCTTAAATTCTTTTTTGATTCCAGTCTCTGTTTAATGTAGTTGACTACTCATGGCAATATCATTAATGTGAGATTTTAAATTCGGATTTTAAGCTTTCGATTACTATAGAATGAAACAGAATATGTTGTAATGATAAGATGACAGGATAAAATAGAGAGTAATATGGAAGATCTAACAAAATTTTAGAACCAAATATTAGTTGATTATCACATTGCATGGCCAACAGAAGGAATAAGGGGAAAAAAGAAATTAAGCGAACTCAGCCAAATCCAACTATCTGACATATATGAGCTGACAGACAAGCATAAGCTTAGGCCCCTTGTAACAACGGATTTGACTCGTGTTCTTAATGTGTAACTGTTTTAGTGTTTCATGCCTGTCCAATATACCATTGCGTGACTTTTTGTAGATTAAAAATAAAAATACTATATGTTATTTTAAATACGTGGATCCTTAGAATAGAAAACTTGATGAGAATTTGTAATTAATTTTACTATTCTTTCTTATATGATTTTAAGAATTGTGCGTGTGGGATAAGAGGAAGACCTTGACAAAAAAAAAGCTCGAATGAGATGGGTGTGTTCGCAGTTTGAATAAAAACTAACCTAAACTTTGTTTTAGAAACAACAATGTCATACTTAGTATGCGAGGTAAATATGCCAAATTCATCACTAAAATACCATAGTCGTCTTGATATGTTTGCTCATATTCTAATTAATATGTTTGCTCATATTCTAATTAATAATTATTAATAAAATCTAGGATTATGATATGTAAAATGCATAATTTAAATTCCATTTTCAGCTTTGATTTATCCACGGTAATTGGAATACGACCCTTTTGTTTAGTACAATAAATACTTATTAGGTTCATGAACAAATCCTATATCTAAAAAAAAAAGCAATGTTATGCTCACAACTGAATCATAAAAACGGACAAAAAACAAATAATAGAGTGGTCATTTACATAAGTTTTGTACAATTTTTGTATTTTTGTATGACTCAATTGTAAGCAAAACATTATTGAATTATATAAACTATTTCTTACAAACTGATATGACAGCCCTGTATGTTTGACACCTCGTCTCCTCTAATTTGTTAAGTTTATCACTAATTTAAAATCATCCGATCACATTTAAACACATCGATTTGTATGAGTTACTACCTTTGGGTGACCGAGTAGTTTTATAAAGGCTCTTGGGTATATTACTCAAGAGGATCTTGAGATCGAGTCCCTCTTCAGTTGCTAATAGCGGTAGTCATTAGAACTTTTATCCGATCAGTAATTGCAGGGTCCCAAGGGATTAGTTGAGGTGCACATACGTTGGTCTGAATACCCCTGATCATTAAAAAAAAAAAAAAAAAAAGTTTGTATGAGCATAATTTTTCTTTCTTTCTTTTATTTTTAATAAATTTCCCATTTTTGTTACCTCATATATACAGTAAAACCTCTCTGTAGTGATACTCTATATGGAATAAACTTTATATAGTCATAAAAAATTATATTCCCAATTTGGGATAGTTATAAATAAGAATAAACTCCATATTGTAATAAGTTATAATTTTTCTAATTCCCGTCTTAAGGAAAGTTGCCTCCATATAGTAATAATTATCTGTATATTGCAAAAAAAAAATATGATATGTTACATTTAAGGTTTAAGATGAAATAAAATATTTATCTGAAGTTGTTTGGGACAATAATTTATGCTATTATCTTCGTAATTATTTCCTTTCTCTTCTTGTTTAATTGTAGAAATGATTTTTTCTTTTGTTAAAGCATACATGACTTGTTACTCATTTGGATGATTAAAGAAGACACTAATATTTATTCATTAGTTCTTTTGTCAAATCTAATCATTCAATTCTATAATGACTTTTTGATTCTCCTAATTTATTTTATTTGTAACTTACAATTTAATCCCAAAAATTAGTAAAAAATTAAGAGAAAGTTAAACATTAAATCTAGACCCTTAAAAGTTATAATTAACTGACACATGGCAAAACATAATTAAAACTTGAAATTCATGGTCAGAGAAATCGCATATTATGATTAGATAATTACCATATTTGATTTAATGAAATGTATATATATATATATATATATGAAGAAACATTGAATCTAAAATGTTAGTTAACGTTCAATGTAACCAACTCAGGAAAAAAAAAAAAAAAATCAAGAGCAAAATGGAGATTTTTGTATATATATCTATCAAACCAGAGCTCGTTTCTCCCATTAATTTACATCTTCTCTACTCATATTCTCTTGTATCATCAATCCTTCAAACTCACAAAGAATTTAGGTGAGTTTCATCTATTTGATATTGCTTTTTCAATGGTATAAACAGTCAGTTTTTACTGTCAACGTCCTGAAGTTTTTAACATGCGGACTAAAGGTTAACAACTAGAAACCAATAGCTAACCATTGGTACGCTTTTGGTATACACGTTAAAACTTTAGGACTTTGACACTTGAAAATTTTCGTGATTATATATATATGCATCGACTTTAGGACTTCGATAAGTCTCTTGAATGTTTTCCAATTTTCATGCTAAATGTAGCTCTAGTCATGGGAGCAAACCATGCATTGCGCTATTTTTTTTTTTTTTTTTTTTTTTTTTTAGTGATTGGGGTGTCTGGACCAGTTTGCGTACATCTCAATTAATTCTCGATGTCCTAAAGTTAATGGCCGGATAAACCTCCAGTGGCTATTGAAGTAAATTGAATTCAAGACCTCTTGAGTAATATCCCAAGAGTCCATATTCAATCACTCGGCCACCCAATGGTGGTTTGCATTGTGCTATTATATCTTGATAAGATGATCTTTGTAATGGAATATATGTTATTGGAATTAATTAATTTATCTTGTTGTTTGACATTGTTGTAGTGAACATGAACTTCTCCGGAGTCGAGCTCGATAAGGTTATCTTTGTAATGGGGTCGACTGCTACAGGAAAGACCAGGCTCTCTGTCGCCCTTGCTACTCAATTTTCGGCCGAGATTATCAATTCTGACAAAATCCAAGTTTACAAGGGGCTGGATATCATAACCAACAAAGTCTCTTCCCATGAAACTCGCGGTGTACCTCACCATTTGTTAGGGTTTCTGGACCCTGATGAAGATTTCACAGCTCAAGAATTTTGTCGACATACCATGATGACCATTCATCGTATTATAGAAAAGGGTCGTATCCCGATCATCGTAGGTGGTTCGAACAACTATATCAGAGCTCTCGTAGAAGATCCAACTATACAGTTTAGGAAAAACTTTGATTGCTGTTTTCTTTGGATGGATGTATCATTACCTGTTTTGCACAGGTACGTAGGCAAACGGGTTGATAACATGGTTGAATTGGGGTTAGTGGATGAAGTCAGAGAAATGTTTGATCCTGAGGCAGACTATACGCGGGGAATCCGACGAGCTATTGGGGCTCCGGAGATGCACAAGTACCTGGAAATTGAAGGTCATGACATGGTTGATGAAGCCACTAAAAAGATATTACTCAATGCTGCTATTGAAGAGATCAAAGATAACACCTGTAAATTGGTGAACTGTCAGCTTGAGAAGATTCGAAGACTTAGAGATGAGCTCGGGTGGGAGATTCACCGGATTGATGCGACTCCTGTATTTGAAAACAATGGGAAGAAAGAAGCAGAAGAAGCTTGGGAGAATGCAGTGATGAAACCTAGCTTGAAGATAGTTGGAAATTTTTTGAAAGAGAAGAAGAAGAGTCATCATGTTGAGTCTTCTACCTACTACTTTCAAGTCTTATTGTCGAGTTCGTCAGGGAATTTCAATGGCGAATTAGAAGGACAATGAGATAGGAATATCAGTCTCTCTATTATGTAATAACTAGTGAGTAATAAATGATGGATTATTCCTGTCCTGTAATAAAAATGAAGTATGGTGTCTTCATTTAGTCCACAATAACAATATATTTTATTTGGTTTAATATTATTTTCCTTAATTTCGGATATACACACACATCTTGCGGTTTTTTTATTTTTTTAATTATTGGAGGTGTCCAGACTAGCTTGTGCGCATCTTGAATAATCTCTTGGGATCCTGAAGTTAATGACTCGGTATACCTTCTAGCAGTTACGTATCTAGGATTTTTAGAGAGTGAGTTTAAAACATTTAAGTTAATAAATTTACAATAAAATTTTATGGGGTCAAATTGTAAATATTATAAATACATCCAAGACCTCCAATGTTCACCTTTATTAACAATTGAGAAGAATCAAACTCAAGACTTCTTGAATAATACTTCCAAGAGTCTCTATCGCTCCATCATATCACCCAGAGATGGTTAACACACACAAGGGTTATCATCCTTGCGTGATTTTATGAAATACGAGAGGAGGTAATTGATAAATTCTAATATCTTATATTTCCTTAAACCTGAGGGTATACAAGAGACAATAAACCTAATAATTATGTGACAAACATATTATGAACATGTTATTTAATGTTGTTATTGAAGATATACTTGTAAATTACCTTAATTAATAATGTGATTTTTTGTTCCATATATGTATTTTTTTATTTGGTTTGATATTATTTTCTTAATCTGGGATATGCCAGGTTTAAATGAAGAGTATATATAAAATAAAGGGGCCAAAACCGAATGTTCAATGTATCTAATTATCTATACATAATTTTATCATATTATACTCTTAAATTCTATTTGCTTTTACTTAAAAAGAAGCAAGTAATTTCCCATTAATTTGGGCACCCTAATTTTAAGGAATTTTATAAAGTATTATAATTCGTACTTATATTCATTAATTTATATTTTAATTAAAATACTTACATATAAAGATGAAATCTTTAAAGGGAAGAGTTAAATAAAAATTTAAAATTTTAAGAAAAATAATAGATACATATATGACTTTTTAGGTATATAAGATTTGCTTAAAACTTTCCTTGTAATTTGAATATGCCATTTTTTTTTTTTTTTTTATCTAATTTATTAATCACCATAATATGGGCAAACAAATCACTGTATTTTTTTCTTTTAACCAAGGTGTCCGAACCAGCTTACACACACCTCGACCTATCCTTTAGACTAATCCTTGTGGGGGACTAACGGCAACCTATTGTTACGACCCTCTACTTAAATCTTGGGAGCCAGGGGGATTCGAACTTAAGACTGTGCATCTTAACCACATATCCCAACACTCATCCTACCACTTGAGCTACCCAAGTGTGGGTTCACTAATCTTTTCAAAGCACAAAAAATTTAGGTTAGTCTCTTCCATGCAATATATTTTATTCTCTTATATCATTAGTCATTCTTTATTTTATTTTATTTATTTATTTTTTGGTGTAGAGTAATTTTTTCTTAATTTTCAATTATATAAATATTATAATGTGGGCATGACGAATTACTTTTTTTTTTTTTAGGGTATTTGAGGTATCCAGACCCACATTGGAGTTTACCTAGTCTTTAGGGCCCCGGAACACCCCACAAGCTCAATGGAACAAGGTAATTGCACAAATGTGGTAGACACCTCTTCTGCGACTCAAACACAAGACCCCTTAGGTATAGCTGACTCCAGTGGCTAAAAGGTTTACTATCCGGCCACAAGGGGAGACTCTTTTGCAGTATTGTCAATATGGACTCCTTTAACAAAGGTCACAACAAGGTTATTTTTCTAATGGGATCAAAGGGCAATGGAAAAAACCAAACTTTCCATTTTGCTAGCCACTTATTTTCCAATGGAAATTATCAATTCTGACAAAATTTAAGTTTACAAAGGTCTTGATATTATCACCATTTATTAGGGTTTAGGCGTCTCACCACTTATTAGGGTTTTATAAACCCTAATGAAGATTTCATAGTTCAAGAGTTTTGTCACCTTAACCCTAATGACCATTCATTGTATTATACAAAACAGTTGTATCCCGATCATTGGAGATGGTTCCAACAACTATATACAAAGCTCTCATGGAGGATCCAAGTTGTATTCTCTGGTTGTATGTTGTTTTACCAACTTTTGTGTAGCGAAAACGAGTTCATCAGTGGTGGAATTAGGGTTAGTTGATGAAGTCATCAGAGAAGTGTTTCATCCAAAAGCCACCTCTATGTTTGATAAAAATGGCCAGGAAAGAACAAAGAAGCAGAAGAAGCCTGGGAGAAAATGGTGATGGAAACCTATATTGCAGTTTATTATTGGCGGATTCTTGAAGAAAGATGTGGGATCTAATGGGCCGGGCTTCGAAGCCCATGAAACACGAGATCTTAGAGGCGGTTGGTTTACGTGGCTTCAACTTCAACTTATACGACACACAGTCGGCAGAGGGCGGTCTGAAAGTTGGAGATCAGCCGCCACAAAAATTGGTGATGTCATAAGTCTCACTTCAGAATTTTATTTTATTTTTTATTATTATTAGAGAAAACAACTTTTTCTCACCCAAGGTTTGCCTTAATGACACCTTCCTACCTTAAAAAGTTTCAAAATACTATTTTTTCACCAAAGTTAAGATTTCGTTACTACCTAAAGCGATTCCGATGAAAAAAATTCTCCTATTATCACCATTTAAACTTCTGATCTCCTCTCTAGAAAACCCCTCTCACTACAACACTGCATTTTTGTCGACTGTCAACCACCGCAAAGCTAGGGTTTCGTGTTCTTAGCTAATTTCTGGATGATTTAGGGGCGAACATTCAATTAACTACTACCATTTGATCCACCGGCCTCCACTCCAAAAACCTCTTACCCTGACTTTGGTAACCATCAAACACTGGTTGAGAAAGTGAAGTGTATTTTGGGTATAATGGAATATAAAATATGGGTGGGGAAGTGCTATTTTGAAACTTTTGGGTAGGAAAGTGTCATTAAGCTAAACCTTGGGTGGGAAAAAGACGTTTTTCTCTATTATTATTGTAAAATGGAGTCTTTAAGAGTGAAGACATTCTTTACGTAAACATAATATTTAAATTAAAATAATTAATTATGGCTTCTAAAATTATTAGTGCAAGTTAGGTTCTTATATCTATATATATATATATTATAATAATATAATATAATATAATATAATATATATATATATATATATTAGCTTGCACACCTAATTTTGGCTTAGCAAAGTTACAAACAGATTCCAAGAATGTGTTAGAATTTTTTGCATAAAACAGGAACCATTATCCATAATCCAAGGATGAAGATGGTGACGAAGAAAAAAAGATGAAGACGGAGATCGTTCACGTGACTTTAACGATCAATAGGTGGTCCAATGGTTAATTATGACTCTGGAGGTATTATTTAAGAGGTTATGAGTTTGATCACCTAGGTTGGTAATAGGGAATATCACTGAGGGATTTACTCGGCTATCAATTTCAAGGTCCTGAAAAATTTTTAAGGTGGTGGTTAAGTGATCAATTAAGATTTTTGGATAATTATTTAAGAGGTTATGAGTTCGATCTACCTAGGTTGTTAATAGGGATAATAACTGAGGGGATTTATCCGACTATTAATTTAAATGAGGGAATAGATTCTTTTGTCTAAGGTGACGTAGTGTGGAATCAAAATCTATTATTGTCTCTCACAAATGGCAGCCTCAATTTCAACCATTACATTTGCGCCAGTGTTGCCACGCTTGTGATGTGTCAACCTAGCTGTGACTCGGCACAAAAACATGCGGAGAATATAAATAACTTCGCTTTCGTTTAGGTTTTATAGAAGCACAAAGCTACGGACCTGAATATTTGCACCGAAAATGTGTACCGGCCTACGTGTAAACGTGACTCACAACAGCAGTCCAGACGCCTGATTTTTTTTATAAATATTTTTCTAGTGAAAGGCCGTCTATCAAATATGGACGGCCGTTTATTCACATAGACTCTCGTCCATATTTGATGGACGGGGGTCCATTTACTACAGATGGACGTCCTCATTAAAGGATGCCCGTCCATAGTAAAAGGAATAAGTTTTTTTTATAAAAATTAGGGACGGCTGTTCATCCGTTATGGACGGTCGTCCCTTCATCCGTTAGGATGGTCATCCCTTCATTTTGGATGGGTGCCCGCAAATAAGGGACCCCTGTCCTAACCAAAATATAAAAATTAAAAAAAAAAAATTTAGGGATGGCCGTCCAAAAATTTGAGGACAGCCGTCCTTAACCAAACTATGAAAAAAAAAAAAAATTGGGGACGGCCGTCCCTTATGTTTGACGGGCGTCCATACTTTAAAAAAAAAAAAAAAATCTAGTCCATACATTAAAAAAAAGAACATTCTAAACACCTCTTCTTCGCTCTTCTTTGCCAAGCCAAAAACCACGACAACATCTCTCACAACATAGCTCATTGATCTCCATGGATTCTTAACCCAACAATGCTTAGGAATAGCCGCTCTAATATCAGATAATTTAAAAGGAGGAGGCGCAGCAAGGTCAAAAACCTCACCATCTTCTGCTTCTTCTACCTCCATTGATTTTCTCCTCCCTAAAATCCTTGTCCGCCAATGGAACACTCACAGTCAATGACCACTTTTTCATTAAACCCATTTGACACCTAATTAAGAAGAAAAACTGTGAGTTAAATCTCTCTATCTTTTAGCTTGAGAGATTCACATTTTTGTAGGGTCTTTCAGAATGGGCGTAAAACTCCTGCTAAGAATCTATGCAAAACCCGAACCGGTCTCAAAGTTTAGATCATCAAGTGCTAAAAACTCAAAGTTTTTCTTCTTCATTAAGGTGTCAAATGGGGTTAATGACAAAAAGTGGTCATTGATAGTGAGTGTTCCATTGAGCGGAAAAGAGATTTTAAGGGAGGAGAAAATCAATGGAGTTAGAGAAGAAGAAGATGGTGGTGAGTT